AACAAGCAGGATTTGAGACGGAAAGACATGTTAAAGCTAGAACAATATTTATGAATTTTGAACAGGATCATGAGAGCACTTTTCCTCTAACCACCAAGATTAAAAACTCTCAGGGAAATATAAAAACAATCATCTTATCAGCAACTGCTGCAGGATTAACCTGCACCAAAACACATGTAAGAATAAGGTCGTCAGAGTAAATTCATACTTCCTCATAGGTTAAAAGCCTCAAATTCACATTTTACCATTTCACCCAGCAATATTCTCTGGCTCTTGCAGAACTGTTTCTAAAATTAATTCTTCTGACAAATACAGTAACTACAAATACAGCAAAACTAATGTGACCAAAACTAAATCTATTACTTTTATATCTTCTTATATCGCCAAAAAAAAAAAAAAAAAAAAAAAAAAAAAAATCACTTTGCTATAAATGTACTACTACCTACAGTTCATTCACTTATATATTGAATTGTGTTAACCCTTACTCTTCACTAATGCTGCTAGGTCAGGAGGTGTGTTTCCAACAGAAACCCACAGTTTACCAGGAGAGCTCTAAGAAGTATGATCAATGCCTTTTGCAACAAGCCATTATTTGCTTCTATGTATCTCTCCTAGCCACAAACAGAAAAAGACTTGATAGAAAGCAAGCTTTAAAAGTATGCTTTGAAAGCAGGCTTCCCACAGTCATCTCATTTTATCAGATGCTTTATTATAGCTCTCAATATACTGAGCTGATACAAACAGATGTAACCAATAAAAATTTTGTGGGTTCACAAATAGTATTCGCTCTCGTATGGGTTCACAAATCACACTCTATATCCGTCCCGACAATAGCCTACACTAATTGAGAAATTTATCACTGCACTCTCAAAGGAGTATTAAAGTCACTTGTCATTTTATCACAGAGACCCCCCACATACATATTAAGTACCACCTCCCTTATATGTACCACATCATTCTTGTTAAAGCCAAAATGTTTCTTATAACCCCTATAAATCAGAAAATACAAATTCTTTGCTATGACACTGTCTTTTGAAAAATTACAGTAGATCTCTTTTTCCCTGAATTATACCAGTTTCATCTGGAAAAATGAATTATATGCCAAACCTCCCTTTTTCCTTATCACATACCCTTTGGATCCTGCTCCATTTTTGCTGAAGCATACTCCCCCTCACATTTAATACAGCTTCAGTTAGTATCTAGCCCAAACTTTTTAAACTTATTTCTAAACTTAAACATCAGGAGCTACCAGCACCAAAGGGGTGTGATGTTGGCATCCAAAAATCCCCATACACATGCTTAACAATAAAGCATAAACACAAAGAAGTTCAAATTTCCACAACTAAGTGTCCTGTTGACGTGGTGTTAAACAAGCAGGCATTTCCTGGATGTTCAAACACTGTGGCAGAACAATGAAATATGAAAGTCCATGTTATATGACACAGACTGTGGCCAAAAGACTACTGACATCCTGAATATTCCTCGCACTTCTCTCCATTTTGACAATTGTGTTTTTAGGTTAACAGTACAGGGAAGCTGAAAAAGAAAAAGCACAGACTTAGTTTCAACTGGTATATCACTTTCAAAGGAAGTTAAGAATGTTTGTTAAGATTTTTTTAAATACTATTTCATGACTACCTAGTGATAACTATAACAGAAGCACTAGATTTAGAAGCCTACAATGTCATCCCTGTCACCTCAGACAAGAGATGTGACTACACAGGTCTGCATCAGTTTCATATAGGGCTTATTATTTACTCGTAACACAGTGTTTAGCATATTTACTCTCAAGAAACAGAAGCAACTTGTAAAGATAAATGCAAGCGTTCATTTATCCCGGGTAAGTCTGAATGCTGAATTACTGAACTGCCCTGCTCAGAACACTACAGTGACTACAAGGGGTGAATCCACCCCTTTACAGAGCATGATGAGTACAGCATTGACTCCCATGCACTCCAGATGTTTTTCCCCCAATAATTAACAAAAACGACCATGCGTGCAAAAATTTCTCCATTTAAGGATAAGCCTTGTCAAATAATAAGGCCTGAGGCTAAATATTTCCAACTTTTTTAGTCAGACAACGTATTTGACAGTTTTTGTCTAGCACTTTCACACAAACAAGAATACTCCATGCTTCAAGTCTAATTTTTATTCAGTCAAAATACTCAGTGGGCCAATACTTTGAAACACAACTAAACCAAAACTAAAGTTACATTATTACAAGCATTTTTTGAACTTTAAAATGCCAGTGTCTGATTTAGCAGGGAAAAAAAAAAAAAAGAATCAGCTGCTTGTGTAAAAGCTGTAACTATCCTAATTAGTTATTATGAAGCGTGTTGCTTCAAATTTTCACTGGCAGGTTTGTTTAGATACTCCTTTCTATTAAAGACAACTTTCAGCTACAAGCATAAACTCGTGTTAGAACACTACCTTGCACTGTAACATCAAGTCTCCGATTAGTTTCGTACTGAGAATAAGGGGAGAAATTGCTAGAATCAGAATCCAATTTTAGAGCAACAAGTCTCCTGGGCCTATCACAACTAGATGATTTTTGGCCTTGTCACAGTATAGGGCACAGCTCCAAGTAAACAAGCCTACCTCTAGCAGAGAAACACACTGGTATGGTTCAAAGACTAAAAGTAATGCTTCCTGAACTCCGCAAAACAGACACATTTGTTTCAAGATGTTAGAAAATTAACTTAAACTAGTGCACTTGGCTAAAATTTGTATTTTTCAAACTTAGACTGAGAACTTTCAAACATATACTTATTGCTTAACACTTGCTTAACAGATAACATTTCAAAGCATTTTCTAATTTTAAGAGTTGGTTACTAACTGAAGGCTCAAAAGTGTTCTTCTCTTTATTAAATTCTATGATTTACAACACTTTCAACAAGCATTTATCTGTAATTTTCTAAAAATTAGACCAAGGAAATGTAAATATATTTTTCACCTCCTCACCTCTACAGCTAATAAGATCAAGGCTTCACCCAGCTCACTTTAAAACCAAGTTCTCCTCAAATCCTACCCACATTTATTCTATCTTACCACCCAGTTCCAAGCCAAAACCTGAAGCATTATGCTCATGAGAAGCATTTTTGTTTCAGTTACTGAGCTACTGTAACAACTACATTTGTAAGCACAAATACAGTGTAATTTCCTATAATCCAACTTCTAGCTAATGCATTTTGCTGTCTCATAAGTTGGTGACAGTTTTGACAGGCAACATTCCTTCATTCCTCTCCTTGATTTAATTTCCCAGGACCTTACTGAATACAGAGAACAAGAGAAAGGATGAAGAGAGCACTTTTCTCAGTCACAAGTAAAAACTCATATTGTTGAATACTTGAAGGTTTCTAACACATGCTTCAGCTAGACATTTGCCATCTCCCTCTGTCACACTCTTCAACAAAATGAACTCTTGGTCTGACTTGAACTGCTGTCCTTTATTTTCCTTAAGATGGAAGCGGAAGAGGGCAAACCAACAGACTTTATAAAAGCAGATGCAATGTTCCATAGTTTCCAGAGTTTCACCACCAAGATGACACACGAAAAGCTGCTGCAGGCATGCCCTCAGATGTTAAACTCCCCAAATCTTTCAAAGGAAGGTCACAAGGATGTTGGGACCTGGCTACTAGAGGCAACCATCCACGCTCAGGCAAGTGACAAGGCAACTTCCAACCCTGCAAACTCACTTAAGGCCCCTCCTCTCATCTCAGAACACTGTACTTCACTGAGGATTTTTCAGCAGACACCCCTGTGCCAACAGAAAACGTTTACCTACAAACAAAATGCATCCTCTCCCCCGCTCCCAGTCTCCTAAGTACAGAGATATCAGTCACTGCAGCCTGCCAGTAAAGGCAACTAACTCTATAATAAACCACCACACACCCAAATGCCTGCTCTGCAGAAGACATCACCACTCACCCTGCAGCAGCTAGCAGAATCGCACATGCACTCCCTCACTCACCTTATAAGTGCAGATCAATCACTGCAGCTCACACTGTAGGCAAAACAATAAAGCCTCCCCGCAATCATCCTCCTTCATCAAACACAGTATACACCTGCCGAATCGTGTGGGGATGCATCCAAGAGCAAACACTCACGAGCTCCTCTCTCCAGTACACACTCCTGCAGAGAAGAGCCCTACAACTCCCCTGACATTTCCTTTCTAGTCGAGAATCCGTAGAGAGCAGGCACCACATCTCCCCTCTGCAGCACTGTGCCCCCCGCAAGAGGTCATAACCCATTCCCAGTACTCCCAATACAAAACAGTAGATATTACTACTTTGCTCCATTACCCACCAATCCACAGGTGTGGGCATCTATATTTCTGAAAGGAAAAACTTCAGCTTCCTACAGCCCTCTTGCTCCTCTCCTCCAGAGCACAACACGAGCGATTCTCCCATCCACCTTCTGGGGGTTCTTATCCAAAACGAACGAAATCCATCGGCTGGGGGGCTGGCTGCAACAGCCCCTCTTCTCCCGCTATGAAAACTCACCCTCACCCAGCAAGAGCCCCCTCTGCGCCCCGAGGAAACGGGGTCACCCCATGACCGCCCACGTCCCCCAAAAAGGGGACCCCACATCCCTCCTGCCCCCACCACACACGGAAGCGTCCCGCTCCTCTCCCCCTCAGTGTAGCTCGCAACCCCCACTCCGCCGGCCGGTCCCGTTCCACACCTCCCGCACCCCCAAGCCCTCTCCTGAGTCCACCACACCAACCCCGAACAAACCCGGCCCCAAAGTCTCACATATGCTTCGGTGACCCCTCCCCTCGCACACGCTGCCCTCCCGCCCCCCGTTCCCCTTCCTCCAGAGGGATCCGTCCTCCCCCTTTCCCTATCTCGCCCCCTGCCCCGAGTTTAGGGGAACGCCCCCCCCTCAGCCCTCCCCACGGCCGCGGCCCAGGCCGCGCTCTCTCCTCCGGGAAGGGGGAGCGGGGCCTGAGCCCGGGAGGGGACGGAGCGAGGCCCTCCCGCCCCGGCGCGGGCCCGCACCGTCTCCTCGGGGTCGATGTCGATCCGGAAGGTCTGCTGCTGCAGCGTTTTCAGCGTGATCTGCATAGCGGCGGCGGCAGACCGCCCGTCGCGGCCGCACTCCTGCGCCCGCGTTCCCTGCAGCACCGCTGGACGGATAGGAAGGGGGAGGAAGGCGGAGGAAGAGTAGAAGAAGGCGGCGGTGGAGGAGGAGGACGAGCAGGGGGAGGAGCAACAGCTCGGCCTGCGCCGCGCGGCCCCGCGGCGTCCGTCACACACCCCGGCGGGGCGGGGCGAGGGGCGGGGCGGGGCGCAGACGGGCGCGGTACGCATGCGCAGACGCCCCGGTTGGGTGTCACCCCCGACCCGCCTCTGCCGCGCCACCTGGGTCTCCCGTCGTGCGCAGGCGCGGGGCGCTGCTCGCACTGCGCAGGCGCGACGGGCGAGCGTGCCGGAGAGGGATGAGGGGCGGGGAGGGGGAGGGGAAAGCGGGCGCGTATGGGTACGGATGTACACTGCTTACAAATTGTTGTTAGCAGTTTGTTCATGCACACACACACACACGTGTTTATAGGGAGCGGGGGGGCCTGAAGGCATCGGCCTTCTGCAGAATGTCTGTGGGTGGTGTCGGGTCGTCGAGGCTGTGTGTCTAATCTGAGGAAACACGTAACTGGATAGCCCCCCCCCTTTTCAGGGGACGCCCACACTAACCCCATAGCCCCCTCCCTTCTTGGGATGCTCACCAGATGGCCTCCCTCAAAGGATGGTAATTCCTCTGCAATGGAATGAGGAAGAACAAGATGGGCCATCGACGGTCCGTATCAAAGGACGGTAACTGCCTTGTGGTTGAATGGAAGGAAGACAGGATGTGCCATCTCTGGTATCTCTTGAGATAAGAGAGGAACTAAAACCACTGAGTCATGAAGACAAAGGAGCTGCAAATTAGACCAGACTTCAAGGACAAGGTGTACATGACTACAGGACTGAGTTTGCGCAGAAGGGTCAACGAGCGAACACAGTGAAGAAGACTACGAGCCTTCATCTGCAGACCCCTGCCCACGACCGCCAGGGAGCACTGCGCAAGCGCAACAGGAGGGATTTGGGGTGGGGGGGCTATGCTAATGATTTCTTGGAACTAATTGTAATATTCCCTCCCTATCCTCAGAGTAGTGATGCATATATATTAGGGTAGATGAATATGCAATGTTTTAGACAATAAGAGGGAGCCCCTTTTGGCTCTGGGTGGTGCACGTCAGTGGTGGCTGGCAGGTCCATGGTGGCCGGGCACTGGGGTTGCTCCGTGGTTCCTAGCTGGCACACGTACTGTGAGGTGGCTGTGCTGCCGAGCTCTTGCTGAGAGTGGTCCTCCAATGAGGGATGAGAATATGGCTGAAATGCCAGCCGTTGTACCACCAAATGAAACAACTTTTCAGATGCTTTGTTTGTTTGTTTAGATTCATCTGAAGTATCAGAACCATAAGAGCTGCTAACACCTTCCACAAGCGTGGAGGAGGGAATGTCAAAGCAAGATGTTATGCGTATAGATTCAGATTTGGAATATGCTAATGGTTTAATCTAGTGTGAACTGAACAATAGCACCATTAACAGTTCAATCCCAACCTCTTTGCCTGATCAAAATAGTTTCATTGTTAAGGCAAGACTACCTGTTTCTTTTGACCCATGTAGTTAATGCTTCAAGCTTTTTACCTGGGACAATCACTGTGGGCAAGGGTTGCCCTGAGAGACAGGCTGTGGTGTCACCTACTGATGGAATGATGTCCTTGAGTGACAGACTGTGGCCATGCGTCCCTCACTGCTTAAATTCAGGCACCCATTCTCACCCAGCTGGCCCATGCCTGCACTCTGGCTGAGCAAGATCGCGATGTTGGAGTGGTGAGTGAGCCCTTTGGTGCTGGTGGTGTGTTCAGGGAGTTGTGTGTTGCAGCTCTCTGTCTGACCCCAGATTTTCCCCGGCCCTGCCAGGTTCAGGCAGCGGGGGCACCCAGGACACGCGCGCGCAGCAGCAGAGGTGAGCTGGGCAGGGACACCTCACCCTGGGGAGACGGGAGGGTTTCCTTCCTGAGGGACCTGGGCATCTCTTCCAGACCTCCCCTGGCCAGACCCTCACCGTGGCCTCTCTTACTTTTCTAGTGTGACACCTGCTGCTGCAGCACTGGTGAGAGGGAGCAGCTCAACACCCCCAGCTTCCCCCAGCCCACCACAGAGGGTGGCAAGCATGGCCACAGAGCTGGACAACCGCTGTCCCATCTGCCAAATGTGATGTTGTGCCTCTAACAGTTCTGTTACCTGTGCATCCTGTGGTGGGCTGACAGCAAGCCTAAGTGCCCCCGCTGCAAGAGGAGGATCACCTCCATCTTGCACTCAGTGCGGGTGGACAGTGACTTTGAGGAGCATGTTGTCACACCGTCTGCAGCACCCTCTGTTGGCGTCCACCCGACAACAGGAACTCCTGGCTGTCCAGCTGCATGCAGTCTCCACCACCCTGTAGCTTCACAGCCACTGGGTGGAAGGCCAGTGCCCAGGGCTCTTGTGAGCAGCCTCCGTCCGCACATTCGGGTGTTCATTTTGAGAGTGTCTGACAGGAAGCAGAGGCAGCGCAGGGGCTCATCCTGTCCAGCCTGCACCTCTTTGGCCTCGACAAGGAAACCCTGTTCCAGCTGCTGCAGGCTACTGTGGGCCAGCACACGAGCATCTTTGTGCTGCAGCTGATTGACACTTGTGCGCCGGTGCAGTGGGGAGGCCCAACATCCGAGGGACCTGGTGGACGCCCGTGCTGCCAAGGAGCGGGAGGGTGGCCCCGCAGTTGCCCCCAATCCTGCTACCTCCAAAGGGGGGGTCTCCTGCCCCCAGTCTGTCCCCCTCCAGCAGCCCGGGCAGATCTGAGGCAGAAGAGCTCCCCAGCACCTCATCAGCTGCCCTTCATCAGGATCCTGGCTGCCCTCCCTGTGCCCCTGTTCCTGCCCGGGGAGGTGCAGCAGGAGGACGCGGAGGAGTCTGTGCCTGGACCCTCCACTCCCGGCTGGGGCAGCTGGCACTCCTCTGTGTCTCAGCAAGACCCGAAGAGAAGGTCCGGCAGCCCTGAGACCACTTCACCTCTGAAGAAGAGGCCATCCTGCCGGCAACTGTAGGAGGGTGCCCCAGGAGCCAGCAAAACTGGGGCTGGACAAGCAGCTGGGGAGCCTGCCAGCCCCTAAGGGGACCAAGAGAGTGTCATTATTCGACTGTCTCCAATGACCAGATAATACAGTAAATGTATGAAAACTACAGAAACAGTTTTGGTATTTCTGACGATGTTGTTAGTGTTGGTGTCCCCACCCGTGTTGGCTTCTCATGTGGCCAGAAATGGCTACCAAGAGGACTTGGTCCGTACTTTGTCCTGGGGCAGAAATGAGGATGACTGTCCTGTAGTCCCTCAGATCATCCTCTTGCCTTTTTTGAGCTAATCACTAAGTTTCTGCATGGTGTTTCCATTTTTTGCAACACAGTCATTAAAGGAAATGTGCAATACGATGAGTCCAAACAGCAGACCCTGGAGAATTTCTCAAATAACTTATTGCAAGCTAATGATCCACTGCTGTCATTACAGATCCCTCTGCAGCTCTTCTTCATAAAATCAGCTGCTTATCTGCTGTACCTCTAGTTCCCATTTTTGCCAGTTTGAGCAGGAAGAGCAAACATCATTTCAGGCAAAGCAAACAGACTTTAACAAAGCTTCAGTGGGATGCAATAGAGAGGTCATACTTTTGTGGGGATTGTGGACCTCATGGCTGTGGGAATGTTATAAAAGTTTGTTGATTGTTACTCTGGTTGCTTTTACTTATATTGTAACTTTGCTAAGGAAAATCATACCTGTTAAAAATACTTGCATTTTGTTACTTAAAGGTGAATAGGAAAGGAACTCCGTTGAACAGTTGGGATTGGTGGAAATGGAATAATTTAAATGGAGTGAATTGAATGGATATGATACAGGATGACATTAGTCTTTTTCCTGTGCGAGGCCTTAGACCTTGACATTATTGTTGCTGAAACTTTTCTGTGAATGTACCTTGTGGCACAGGTCAAAGGTTATAGAGGACGGGGGAGCTAGCTTGATGTTACTTTCTGGAGAACAAGTATATAACCCTACAAAATTTATACTGAGCTGGGAAGATAACTTGGTGTTACAGAGACCCCAAAGTTGTCAGATGCTTTGAGGATGGTTTCTGCACAGAAGCTTCTACCTTACCATCCATCATGGGGATTCCCCTCTTGCTTGCCATAAGGATTCTAAGTATGGAACGTCGTACTCTTGCATTCCTACTAACTGTTTCATTTTACTGTTCTTTCTGATTTTCCATGTATTCCCTCTTAATAAATGTTAGTGTTAAACCTTAATCTTTGTCTATTTGTGTATATGTATCTATAATTGGGACTGCCACGGGGGGAAGTCAAGCCAGGGATGAGTTTTCTTAGTATTTATGGTAACCCAGCATGCATTTCAATGTCCAATCGACTGGCAAGCCAGGTGCTTTTAAGACACCATCCTATGGTGATCCGTCAGTAGGTGTGGGATCCCCCAGTGCATTTTCTTTGCAGCCAGGGCAGTCATTCTGCAAAAGAGGATGCTTACGTTAGACTAACTTAATACTATCATGTAATTAAACCCCAAATTTCTTAGCATTGTGTAATACCTTGAGAAGTTCTACTGTGATGCATTGTCAACGCAGTGTTTGTAACAAAAAACATCTGTTATCTCATTATTGCAGTAAGCTTGGCTTTATAACAATTTCCTACCAGCAGTGCAGCCAAGCAGGGGACAGCAGGCTGCACTACAATACAAAGGGAAAGTGAGAGACACCTCTCCCTGCAGGGGTGTGTGAATGTGTGCATGTATTGCAAATGCAGCTGGTGGTGCTGCCTCTGTCATCATCCACCTCAGGCTCTGTCACACAGCTGCTAGACAGCCAAAGCCTCTTAGGGCTTTCGCAACCAAAAAGAAACTGCTGACTATAGCTAGTAGGAATCCAACATGCTTGGCAGCTTGGCATAACTTGCTTGCATCACATGGAGAGCCATTTTAAACAAGCAAACAAAGAAAGAAAGACGTATGAGATAAAATTCCTTGCTATTTTTTGCATGGGTGGTTACAACTTAAAATATGTTGCTTGTTTGCTTTCACTCACTTTCACTATTGCTTGATACCAGATCTAATTCTGTACTTTGCAGATGAAATAAAAGGGACTTTTTTAAACTTCTCATTCAGCAGTCCAGCATATGTAAG